AGGGCGCTGGGCTCACCGGCCGCGAACAACTTGTGATAGGCTCGGGCCCGCGCCCTAAGGGGTTAAACGCGTTCTCATGTTACCGAGCGGCTTATAAGGAGGGGGAGGCCAAGCCTCCGCCTTATTGGGAGCCTTTTGGGGTTTATTCTCTTCCCTTCTAACTTGGTGAGTTGGTTTTATTATTTTACATGTTTAAAAGTTTGATCGTGGGGTGTGGGCTGTTTTTTAAAATTCTGTGTTGGGGTCTTTTTTCTTTTTTTGGTGGGGGAGGATGAGGAGATCACTAAACATCCTAACATTTTGGAGAGGTTATTCCGAAAAATATTCTGACAGTTGGGAATGCTCAAGGCCACCAAGATGACGCGCTCTCCAATGTGGGCAGCCGAGAGTTGGCTGTCCGGAACCCAGGTACAGTTTGGAGCTGGGAAATCCATAAATAAAGGGCTAGCTTTGGGATGCCCCCGGCCCTGGCTTAGGGTCTCCGGGCCTCCGGACGAGGTGAGGTTGGCAAGCTCAGCCTCCGCGTTGATTTCCCGCATGAAGTTGCCGGCGCGTCACAAGAGCGAAATGTCAGAGGTATCTTCCCCAGGCTCGCGCGCGCACGGCGGGCACACTGAGGCAGCGCGAAGGAAAGTAGGGCTCTTTTTTTCCTCCGCTCCCGGTGCTCCCCGGGACAGCCAAAGCAAGCACCCCAAGGGATGGCCGGGATTTCCCTGCAGAGCGCAGGTCCTTCACCTTGACCGTCAGAGCTGTCAGTCAGTCCCCGCCGGCTGGTCCCGCGCAACTTCCGAGTTCCCGGGGCTGCCAGCCGCAGGAAAGCGGCGGTGCCTGCGGGCAGGGCTGTAGCGAGGCAGGGTGGGTCTGCAGAGGAAATGGGCTATTTCCTTCTAGAATGTTGTTTTTCTTTCTCTCTCTCTCTTTTTTTTTTCCCCCTTAACTGCCCCCAGCAGACAGGTGATAAGAAGTTTGTTAAGTGACTTATAAAATGTCACCAACACGAGGGGCGTCAGTCTTAGAAAACGCTGCTGGGAGCGAACTGGGGAAGAGCAGTTAGAATTTGTCAACCTGGGAGCTGGGTTTGTTTGCAGTTAGACACTTCGTGCTGGCTCCTGGGAATGAGATTTCTCAGGGATCTTACGGTTTTTGCAAATCAAGTAAAATAGGTGGTTTGTGAGCAAAAAATGCCGAGTGCTAGCCCTAAAATCTCTGAAAGTGATGCACTGCCCCACGTCAGAAGCACCATTACGTCGCATTGAGGGGGGGTTGTCAAAAATAAATCCTCCCCCCAGAGGTACAGAAATACCTTCTTCTCCTGCTTAAGAGAAGAGATCGGGATAGAAATCTACAGCGTACAGAATGCAGCCAAGTGGGGAAGCTGCTTCTGTTTTAATGACTACCACTATCCCTGAGCTTTCTTCTCGGGTTTCCAAAATAGAACCTTTTCCAAAATAGGAACTCACTGGAACTCCTGAGGAAGACCCTTATGTTAGAGGCTCAGGTTTCAACATGACCCTCCTGTAAAATGGGTGAACCGATTGTAGCAAATGGTTCAGAGGTGCTCAGGTGGCAGGTTTGGGATTTAAAGATAGGATTCAAATGAACTTCACCTAAATACAGACTGGTTTTGACAACCTGGGCGGGAAACAACTTGTCCAAAGCTGTTCTCCAGGCTGTGCCTTTAAGGAGAATCACAGTACTTTCTGTAAAGGCTCTGCTTCCCCCAGTGGCCTTCGCCCTTTCCATCCAAAGCCTGCATTTTGATTTTTGTTCTGCAATGACACAAGACTAACATTATATCTGTATTGTCTATAATAACCCATATTTTGCATTTTTCCATGCCTTAGTTCAAATCTTTTCTCAGCAAATCTGATCACATTGAAACTCAGAGGGAGACCAGATTTCTAAGCCTTGGCAAAATACCCACTTATCTAAGGTGGTGGTTTAGACAATCAAATGCTAATGGAAAGTAATCCCACTTGCCCAAGGTATATTTGTCATTGTCCTTCCTTCTGAAGAACACTGGGCTGAAGGGGAACATGGCTGCTAGGAACCCTCATCCAAAATTGGATTTTAGAGCTGGAAGAGACCTGCGGGACAGCTTTATCTAATCCCCTTGTTTCACAGAGGATAAAATTGAGGGATTTAGTGCTTTCAATACAGTTAGTCATAAACAAATATTGCCCGGGGGCCTCATGAAGACAAAGTCATGGGCCTTGCCTTCTGAAGACTTCAGTGAGTTGAGAAGGGCGGAAGCAGGTACAGTGTCATGAAATTGTAGTTGCTTAGGGTAGGGCAAGATCTGATATCTTCGATCTAGTTCAACTCCCTCAATTACCGCTAGAGGACACTGAAAATGAAGAGTGACATGATTCACCCAAAGCACAGGGCCACTCAACTTGCCCCACCAGTTTGATCCCCATACAATAAACTCATACTCCTTTCCATCACATAAATGGATGTGCCAGTAAAGGCAAAATGGGAAAGATAAATGCTATAATCTGGAATTCTGAAGCCTGGGATAATTGCTTTGTTTGCAGAGGCAAATGGGTTTGTTAAGCTCTTAGGCCTTCTGGATGAATGGAAGAGAGAACAAGAGTTCAGGAAAAGATTTATTCTGCAACAAGATTCTTCCTCACTTTGTGACTCAGTTTTATAAGGCTAGGGCTGTGTGCCCCTTCAGGAGCACCCCAGGGCTCCTACTCTGCTTAGTAAATGTTTACTGAGCACATACTATGTCCCAAACAGTATGCCAGGCACTGGGTTTGGAAAGAGCTGGTGCCTCCCCTGTAAGATTATATATATTTGAAAGGCAGAAGTTACCATCTAGCTTGAGGAACCAGATTATTCTGTTATTTGTATTTATAGGATAATATACATCTATAATAGTCTTTCTATATAGTTTTTGATTTTCGAAGCTAAACATAGTAAGACATAGGATGCTTTGCAATGATGAAGGCATAAACTTTGGACATCCTTCCCTTATGATCCCAGTAATGATAAGACAGCTCCTGCCCTACAAAATCCCGAGAGTGTAGGTGAAAAGTTATGTTTGTATCTATTTCAGGAGATAGTACAGATGTAAAACAAAGTTAAGAAAAAAAATGAAGTAATCACTCATTAAGAAGGGCTTCAGAAAGTGAATAGAAGTAAAGCCATCAAAAGTCTGCCACCTTCTCATGGGCTACCATGGATCACATCTAACCATCATCCAGCTGCTTTACACCCACATTTGCAAGAACAATACAGCTTTTGCATGTGCCATATAGCTCAGATTGCTTGAACCATCAGGTTTGGCCTAAGGAGTCAACTGTTTAATAGAACCAGTAACCAGCGGCCATACAGTCAGTTCCGATTCATGGAGACCAATGCGGGTCAGGGTAGAATTGTGCTCCACAGGTTTTCATTAGCTGGTTTTTCAGAAGAAGATCCCTGGCCCTTCTTCTGAGTCCAACGCTAGGCTGACTTGAACCTGCAGCCTTCCGGTTAGCAGGCCAGTACATTAACCATTGGCACCATCCAGGGACTCTTGATGAACAGAACTGTGCTAAATATAAAAGTGTCAGTAAAGTTGGATGGAACCTTAAAGATTATCTAGGCCATCCTCCTCATTGGATTAGTGAGCATAGGCCCAGGGAGGAAAAGGGACTTTGCTGAGGTCACACAGTTCAGAGGCAAAACCATTCACAGACCTTTTTATACTTGGAGATGAAGAGAGTTTTATATTTTCAAATTGTTTCCTCACATCTCTATATAAAACACTTCCCTCTCTGCCCTTTAAGATGCTGACCTGCAGGCTGATAAGCAGCACCTGGGAGGCAAGAGTTCTGGTGGTGTAGTAGTTAAGGCATGTGGCTGCTAACCACAAGGTTGGTGGTTCAAACCCACCAGCTGCTTCATGAAAGACAGATGAGGCAGTTGGAATCTGTAAAGCCTTGGTAATCCAGTGGGGGTAGCTACGAGTTGGAACTAACTCGATGGCAGTGAGTTTAATTTTGGTTTTGGAGGCAAGAAGGGAGCCCTGGTGGTGTGATGATTAAAGCACTCAGCTGCTAGCCGAAAGGCTGCTCCGAGGGAGAGAGATGGGGCAGTCTGCTTCTGTAAAGATTCTAGCCTTGGAAACCGCATAGGGCAGTTCTACTCTGTCCTGTAGGGATGCTATGAGTTGGAATTGACTTGGCAGCAACGGGTTTAGTTTTGGGGAGGCGGGGGATCTAATTCTGGTCATTTCAGACAAGTCACTTCACCTCTCTGGGGTTCAGTAGCCTCAAACTACAAATGGGAGTTAAACAAGTGTTAGAGCAGAAACTCCCTTTTAGCTTTGTTGTTGTTGTTGTTATGTGCCCTCGAGTCAGACCCTACCCATAGCGACCCCTCCTTGGGTTTCCGAGGCAGTATTACTATGGAAGTATATTGCCCCATCTTCCTTCTGAGGAGTGGCTGGTGGGTTTGAACCGCCAGCCTTCTGGTTAGCAGTCAAGTGCCTTAGGCACTATGCTACCAGCACTCCCCCTTTCAGCTTTAACATTCTGTAATTCTTACTCCAGACTGTGGCTACAGATTGATCCTCACCCCAGCCATTGTGCAGGTGCAAACCACTGACCATAGCAGAAGCTGGGGTAGAGAGTGAGATGGGCACCCCGTCCCAAAACCAGCCCGATGCACAAAACCCCAGTCCAGCACTACTCATCTAAATCCAGTGCAACGAAAAGTTCTGTCTCTCGATCCTGCAACTAGAAAGAGATGCAGCTTATCTCTCTGGGACCCTTATCAATTTTATCCCAGTATATTTTCATTCGGGTGAGTCCTGAGCTCTCCATTAGGACTCAAAGACCTTAAGGGAGCCCTTCTGGAGCAGAACGATCGGGCCCACAGGGTCGTGCACTTACTGACTTCATCCTTCAGCTTCTCAGGAGTGTGCTGAACCCCAGGAAGGATGGGGTTGAAGAATCTTAAGTATGATGGGCTTAGTCGGGAGGTTCCTTATTGTTCCTCTCGCTGCCGAGAAACTATCTTTTCACTGTAGTATCCCCAGTGCCTGCCAGAAGGCCTGGCACCTAGTAGATACTTTATTGAACATGTGAATAAAAGTTATGTGCAAGGTACTGTGTGAAATACAGAGATGAAGGCCCCAGACTTTGTTTTCAGGACAATCATCATCAAATAATTTACAAAATTCTTCAATAATTTAATTGATGAAATAAGAGGGATGAATATAGTAAATAATTCTCCATCTTTAAAGGAGACCTACCACATGAAGGAGAAAGCCCCTTGGTTGAGTTGGCAGAGGAAGCATAATGGGAGAGAGGGGATTTGACAGAGCAGGGCCTTAAAGGTCACACTGTGCAGCTGAGGAGCCCTGGTGGTGCAGTGGTTCAGTGCTTAGCACTAGCCAAAAGCTTGTCGGTTCAAACTCACCCAACGTGTGAAAAACCTGGCAGTCTGCTTTCCTAAAGATTACCTATAAGCCCATTGCTGTCGAGCCAATTCCAGCTCATAGCAACCCCACAGGGAAGAGCAGAACTGCCCCATAGGTTTCCAAGGCTGTCATCTGTACAGAAGTAGACTGCCACATCTTTTTCCCACGGAGCAGCTGATGGGTTCAAACTGCCGACCTCTCCATTAGCAGCAGAGAGCGCTTAACCAGTCCTTTCCCCTTAAGAGCAATAACAACATGCCAGCTACAGGGAGGCAGCCAGGTGGGGAGAGGGCAACAAAGACACGAGGGTTAAAAACTAGAGGGTGAAGAGGAGTCCAGTATGACCATGGCAGGCAGGTCAAGCCTGAGGTCAGGGAGAAATCAGGCCACCAAGATAGGTGGGGATCCAATTATGAAGGACATTGAACGTCATGCCAATTAGTAGATTTCATGCTTCTGAAAGAGGGAAGGCATTGAAAAAATCTGAGCAAAAATATGTCCTGACAACACAGCACTTCTGAAAGATCCCCCACCCTGGACCCAGAGAGACAGTTACAACACAATCAAAGGGCCACAAGGAAAAGCTCAAACTGATGGCTGACTTGTTGTTCATTAGGTGCCTGAGTTGATTACGACTAACAGTGACCCCACAGTCTTCAGGGTCTTTCTCCCTCAGAGCCACTAGGTGGGTTTGAACTGCCAGCCTTCTGATGAACAGCCAAATACTTAATTGTTGTACCACCCATAAACCTATCGTCATGGAGTCAATTCTGACTCACAGTGACCTTATAGGACAGTAGAACTGCCCCATCGAGTTTCTAAAGCTGTAAATCTTTATGGAAGCAGACTGTCTTATCTTTTTCCCACTAGCTAGTGGGTTCAAGGGAGCTCTGGTAGCATAGTGGCTAAAGCACTTGACTGCTAACCAGAAGGCTGACAGTTCAAACCCACCAGCCACTCCTCAGAAGGAAGGTTGGGCAATCCTACTTCCGTAGTGATACTGCCTCGGAAACCCAAGGAGGGGTCGCTATGAGTCGGGTCTGACTTGACGGCACACAACAACAACAACAGTGGGTTCAAACCACTGACCTTTTGATTAGCAGCTGAATGCCTTAACCACTGTGCCAGTAGCGCTCCTGAGCGGCCTGATAAGGGAATGAAATGGAAGTGTTCCTGAAAGACCCCACAGCTGCAGGACAGCCACCACCATCCTGCACGCCCCAGGGATAAATGGAATTCTGAAGCCAACACTGAGTATTACTTGAGTATTACTGACTTTTTTGTTTTTGTTCTTTTGTTTTCCAAACCTTAACTCTAGTGCTGTTTTCATCTGGCCACAGCTGCCTCATCCTGAGAGTGACTGGCAAAGCTGATGAAGGAAGTGGGGAGCTGTGGAAACCTCCATTGCTGGGGGGCTCCTGGCTCCCATCAGATCAGTGGCCTTCCATGTCGGGGACACCAATGACAAACTGTTCTGCTGCTGCTCAGTTTACATCTTGAACTATTTAACTCCCCTTCACACCTTTTCATTTACTCTTGGCCATGACACATTAACATACTCAGAATGCAAAGGCCTGGGCTACAGAGAGCATAGCTTCTTGAAGCATCTTGTTGGCACATGCCAGCCAGTCAGCTCCAACCCATAGCAAGACGAAACCTGTTGCCATAGAGTTGATCCTGACTCAGAGACCCTGCAGGGCGGAGCAGAGCTGCCTCATAGGGTGTCCAAGGTTGCCACCTGTACGGAAGCAGACTGTCTCGTGTTTGTCCCACGAAGCGGCTGGTGGGTTCAAACCGCCAACCCTTCCGTTAGCTGTGAGCACTTTAACCATCGTGTCACCAGGGCTTCTTTCAGTAAATGTTAAGGGACGTGATTTAAATGCTCAACAACATAAGACATTTGTTAAGTACTTCTTCTCTGTTATTTTGCTAAAGACTTAGAATCATCAGACCTCATGCTGTTGCTAGTCTCAACCGTTTTTTTTCCCCCTTTTCATTTCAGATTAAGAATGACCCAAAAGAAATCAAAGCTTTGTTCCAGAGCCAATGTTTATACTCAAGTGCCTGATGGAGGATGGGGCTGGGCAGTAGCTATTGCTTTTTTCTTCGTTGAAGTCTTTACCTATGGCATCATCAAATCGTTTGGTGTCTTCTTTAATGACTTAATGGACAGTTTTGATGAATCTAATAGCAAGATCTCATGGATAGTATCAATATGTGTGTTTGTCTTAACATTTACAGGTTAGTACATCTTTTAGCGTAAACTCAATTCTAAGTGTAAGCCCCTTTGAACTTGCCTACCTACATAATGGTACTCTTGTGTTTATGACATGTTTGCTTATAGGACCTGCGTTGGCCTTTATAACCTCAGTTAAGTAATATGCTTTATCAGGAGGGAGGGGAGTCAGGAAACAAGAGATACTGAAGAAAAAAGTTGTATTTGCCAGGCTTAACTGCGTTCAATTTAACATACATATAAAAACACCTACAGTATGCATAGTCTTAAGAAACTTGATAACTGTAAGAACAGTTGTCAACCCCAGTTCTGTGGGAATGTAAACATTTTCTAAGGAAGCAACATTTAAGTGCAGGGCACACTAGTCCCTTCTGTCATAAAAACACGCGTAGGAAAGCAGGTTGGAAACATGTAAGTGTGGACACATGAAGAAAGATGAGATGGGTAAAAGGATATAATATAAAATTGTAAATATTGTCCGGAGGTGACACTCTGAGTTCCCTAGCAGACTTTCCTGATTAACCACCATGTGATCCTCGCACATCCAACAGGATAAAATAAGATGGGTTTTTAGTATCATTTCCGACAGGCCTAATTGGAACAAGCCTACTCGGTCACACATCAGCTCGGTGGCAGTGCCGAGAGTTTTCTGAGAGAACAACGCTGGTGAACTTACCTCAGAAAGTTGACCCGCTGACCTTAAGTGCCCCTGACTTTACCCTAACCTCCTGTCACAGAACCGTTATCTCTGAAGTTATCTGAACCTTTTGTAAATGGAGTTTTCAGCCATATATCATCTTAAAGCAGCACCTCCATCTGGTTTTACCCATTGGGCAAAGTAGAAAGTTCTCATTTAGTCTAATGCTGTCTCCTACAAGTGTCATAGAACAAACAGCTCCTACTTTCAGTTTAACTGAGTATTGTCATTGTTAGCTGCCAGCCAGTCGGCCCCCAGCTCACGGAGACCCTGTGCACAATGGAACGAAATACCGCCCTGTCCC